GCTAGGGAGGGTTTAGCCACAGATGTGTTGTATTTTTTGAAAGTGCAATAACTTGGTATTTTGAAGACCCAGCATGTGGCCAGGACCCCCTTTGAGGTGGGGGCTTCAGGGTGTGGCACCGTGTGGCGTGGGGGGGTCTCAGTTTTCTAGCCAGCTACCTCGGTAACTCCAATTCAGGTTAACTTCCCTACGGAACAGTGCAGATGTCCACGGGTGCCACCGCCAGGAAGGTGGCCACCTCCAAGGGGCAGCAGGGACTCCTGCCCTCCCCTCTTGATTTGGGGTGGTCCTTCCTCTCTTGCTCTTGGGTTTTCCGACGGGTACGAGGCCTGCCCTGCACCCCCTCCCCCTGGAGCCTCATACTCGTCTTCCAACAGGACTTGGCTGGGGGCCGCCCTTTAGCAACCCAGTTGGCCTTCGGGGGTCCAGCAACCATGGGGCTTCCATAGCCACACCAGATGCCTCCAGGGACCTGCAGCTGGGTGCTTGGCCCACCACCCAGCATCCTTGCCCCCTCAGAGGCCATGCTTCCCCAGACCACTTCTGCCTGTCCTTCTGTTTTGCTTTTTTTTTTCCCCACCCTTTTCCCCCCAACCCCAGAACAATTTTCCTTTGTATAAACAGAACTCTACTAGTCAGGAAGCAATATCATTTCAGGTCTAAAGATGAAAGGGACATAAATCTGGTCGAGGGCAAATTCAGTTTTACTGTATAAACTCAGTTGCGCAGTCCAGCCCCCCTCCGTCTGTACTGGCAGCTGAGGGCCGCTGTTTTCTAATATTTGTATTCTAATTTAATTGTTTTTTAAAAATGCAAATAAAAAGGTCAAGGTGAAGCCACCTAGGCATCCGCTTTTCTGTGCGTCTGAGGTGTCAGTTGGGGTTGGGACCAAAGGACCAAAACACCTCCCCATCCACAGTTCTCTTTATCCTTTGCTCCCTGGTGTTCAGGACTCAAAAGGCGCCACATTTGGTCAAGTGAGGAAGATTTCACTCTGGACTGCCTGGCACAGTGTCCATCTGCTGGGCCTGATGAGGCATTCAGCTCCTAAAAAGATGCTCAACATCCTGTCATCAGGGAAATGCAAATCCCAACCACTAGGAGGGCTAGAATCTAAAAGACAGTGAGTGACCGGTGCTGGAGAGGATGGGGAGGAACTGGGACCCTCTTAGGCAGGAACATAAGATAGTGCAACCGCTGTGGTAACAGTCTGGCAGTTCCAAAAAGTTAAACATGGACTTGCCACCTGACCCAGCAAATCCACTATAGCTATCTCCCCCAAGAGAAATGAAAGCCTGTCTTCTCATGAAAAGTACATGAATCTTCTAGCAGCGATACAATAGCCAAAGGTGGGAACAAGCCCAGTGTCCAACTGAAGAATGGATAACAATGTGGCCCATCCATGTGCTGGAATAGCACCTATGAAAAGGAGTGAAGCACTGACACTCGCTACAATGTGGATGAACCTTGAAACAATGATGCTCAGAGAAGCCAGATGTGGAATGTGAAGAGGCAAATCCACAGAAAGGAAGTGAGCGAGTGTTGGGCTGGGGGAGGGGGCTTCTTTTTGGGGTGATGGAATGTTTTGAAACTAGATGGTGGTGATGGTTGCAAAACTCTTCCAATATGCTGCCACACTGGTTTGTAAGGGTGAGCTGTATGTGAATGGTATCAAAAACCAAAGCCTCTCTCCCTCGGGAGTGGATGCGGGAGTGTGAGTGAAGATTACATGGACTGAGTGGCTGTTGAACCTGCTTCCATCGCTGTCCTAATCAGAGGCTTCCAGGCTCCCTTGTGGCTGGTTCAGATCCCCTTGGTGTCTGGCTGTGGTACCACTGGCCTCCCACCCCCACCCAATCCAAGCTGGAGACCTGGATTCTCATGTCTGACATGTGATCACATGAGCACAGACCTTGCCACTGAAGGACACCCAGAGTCCCTTCCCAAGTCCTCCACTTGGTATTTCCCAAAGGCCATGCCAGGCCTCATAGATTCCCTGTGGCTGCTATGAAGATCCACTTCACGGAGTCCTGTTTGTTTTCTCCCAGGTGGTGACCATGGTCATCTGTGCCCCTTTTGTGCCACTCTGTCACCCACCCCAACTCTGGGCCCAGCTGGCCTGAGTCCAACTGGGGGCCTGGAGGGAAGAGGGCTCTCCTTAGGGCCCTGGAAATGGCCGTGTTTGGTGACCCCAACCCAGAGATAGGGGCTGCAGCCCACGATTCTTCTCTCCAGTGAGTGGGCCCCGGCCCGACTTCCTCCCTGGGTATATGGACGAAGCAGCCAGCTCAGCTCCTTGATCAGGTCAGGGCCCAAAGCAGGGCCGCACCTTGGAGGCCTCTGGCAGACTTGGGGTTCCCCATGCAGGCCACCCAACCCAGAGCCTCCAGAAACCTTGTAGCTGGAGGTGACCTAGGAGCCAGCTCAGCAGGTTCTTCCTGCCCGCCCCCACCATCCCTCGGACCCCTTCCTGGAGCAACCTGCCCTCGCCTAGGGGTGCCACCTCCTCTGTAGGGGCCTAGGTCCTAGCACTGCCAGACACCCACCCAACCCTGGAGCCCAGAGGCAATCACTGTGTCCAGGCCCCTTCCTCCCCCACTTCACCTCCCAGGCCTGGCAGGAAGGGTGAGGCTGAGCATAGGGTCCTCTCTCTGGAACCCAAGCTGGGGGCCCCCAAGTGCTGTAAACAAAGGGCCCAACCCACGGGGAAGGGGCCCCTAAACCATCCATCCCCACTCCCCAGGCTCCCCCCAACAAAACACAAAAGAACATCAAAATCAGGCAAATGAGGCAGCAGCGGTCGTAACAGGCTGCGTTTAGTGGTTTTTTTATGTACAAGAAAAATGATTTTTATGTCCGGTTTTTCATCATCTTCTGTCTTTTTGTTTTTGTTTTTATTACTTTTAAAGCTTCTCCCCCCACCCCCCAAAAGTGCATTTTTGTCATTTTTTTAAATCTCCCACATTTTATAAAGACTCTCAAATACAGTCTATGGAATGTCTGTGCTCTGTGCCCCCAGGGGCGCCACCCCCCAACCCCCCATTCACCAGGCCTGGTCCCCCAAAGTCCAAGGCACCTCGTGTCTGGGCCTGGGTGGGGTTGGGGGTACCTGACACAGGACCCCTGGCCGTGGCCTCCAGGCAGCTGTGGCCGTGGGATGGGGGTCTCCTCAGCCCCCTCATCTCCTGGTCCTGCCCCCCACCCCACCCCCATGTAAATTTATATATTTAGTGCGAGCTAGTCTTAACTCTGAGGTTATGACTCCTGGGCGCCCAAGACCCCAGGCCCTGACCCGTCCTGCACCAGCCAACACCACCATTCCAGGAAGGCTGCTTCCTCAGCTTAAATAACTTTTTAAAATAAAACTGCAAATATAAATATCTTTCTCTCTCAAAAAATAGGATTTTTGCTTTTTTTTTTGTTGGTTTTTAATTTTTTTTTCCTTTCAGTCTTTCTGTCCCTCCTCCTACAATCCTGGCTGCCTGGATGGCCTTGGTTTCGGGGGGGCCCTGGCCCCTGCCTCGGTCCCACCATGTGCGACACAGCTGATGGGTCTCAGTAGTGCAGACTCCCCAGAAGACCCTGGAAGGGGGCTGGGGGCCCCTCCCTTCCCACCTGAGAACCCCCCTCGGAAGGAAGCAGAGGGACAGCCCTGTATACACAGGGTGACAAGAGATGGCCGCATGGGGTCTCCTGGGCGGGCCGCCCGAGGGGGCAGACTTTGGTATGGCCCGCTGGAGCCCGGCTGGGCACAGGCCCACACCCATGCCAGGCTGGGCCTGGTCCGGCACTTTACATTCACTGGTTTTTTTTTTGTTTGTTTTTTTTTTTGCCTTTTTTTTCTTTTAATCTCAAAAGGCAGGGTCGGGGTCGGGGTGGGGGACTAGGCAGGGAGCAGCAGCAAGGATATTTCTCTCTCCCAGTTCGGCAGGCTGGAGACCGATCCAGGTGGGGGCTCAGGGCCCCCCATTCTGCCAGGCCCACTACTCCTGCCCTAGAGCTGCCCCCCGGAGCCTCCACCTGAAGTCCCCAGCCTAGACCTCACTCTCGCACACATGCGCACACACATCCACGCAATTTCACCAAGATGATGGAAATAACAATTTCACTTTGTC